AATCATCAAGTGATATTGATCTGATAGTTACTTTACAGAGTGAATAGAGGAACAGCCCTGTACTCTGTATTTATATCTATGGCACCCTGATCAATTGCATGTGTTTGAGCAAAAGGTAGATACACCATGTTTGAGCACTTACAGTATACAGGGGTTGATGAGTTGAATGAACCATATGCCCTGTGACACATGTGATTTTGTAGCTTTCTTGTCAGAAACCTGTTTAAAAATGATGAAATAATATTACAGCACAAATGCGTAGAATAAACATAAAATTAAAACATCAAATGTTTATCTTGAATCAGGGAGTGCATTCCTAAAGTGTTTCAGTATAGATTAGTTATGAGGGAGAGTTTGTTATCTGAAGTCATTGTAACACTATTTGCTCTTTTTGATTCTTTAGATTCTTCTTGAATCTTTGAGTCAGTATGTTTCTACACAAAATTTTATGGTCATTCATAAAAGGTTTTCTATTCATGTTTGCCAATTTTTCACACAGATTAATTCAGACCAGCTTGTGGCACCAAAAGGTCTGAGAGAATGTGGGCACTGCATTTCTCACAGGCAACTGCTATGATTATGGTTGAAACAGTGAGACTGTAGCTTAAACCTACATTTTATGGCATGTACTGTAGTACATAAGGACCCTACTTATCGTTATACTGTATATTTATGTGTACTTATCTCTATAAGACAATGATTGATAACAAATGAAAAAGAACATGTTATTAACAGACAAAGGATAGGACTGAGAAGGACAGATTTTACGTTATTAAGGAGTGATTGATAATTTCTTTGATACCATGAGTTTTACCAGCACAACAGTAGGAACACTTCGGAACATACAGTACTAAGATTTCACCAAGCTTTGATTCATGTTCAAGCTTTAAGCTTTATTGAAAGTTTCTCTACCTTCCAGTTTTGAAAAAGATGTCCTCACATTTCTTACAAAGAAATGCAAACTCTCTGCTAAGTCATTTGGTTTAAATCACTTTAGTCTCCGAAACAAATCCTACTCCAATGCAGTTCAGATACGCCTTTGTCTTTTTGTCTATTGACAAAATGATGACTAGAAATAAAGACAACATTGTCTTGGAGACAGTTTTATTAATTGGGTGGGAGGGCTGTTTGGAGTGGTGTAGCTTACAAGTAACAGAAGTGTTTAAAACATGATCCAAAAAGTCTCAAGCAGTTACAAGCATCATATTAAATTATGGTCCACTATAAAATTTGGATAGATTTTCCTAAAACATAAGAAAAACTATTCTTAAAGAATAAAACATGAATCCTGCTAGAATGTTGTTTCAGAAAAACGATTAAAATGATTGTTCTTCTATATATTAGTTTTGTATACTACTCATAATATTAATTTCACCTATTATTAATTTATTTTTTTACATTAATGACAGTATAGTGTTTTGTGCCCATACTGTATATTGTTATATGAGGGTATTAAACACGTGTAGAGAGTGTTACATGTAGAGAGTGTTAAATAACAGCAAAACCTGCAAATACATAAAACAATCAATTTATTGATTGCATAAGTATTCAACCCTCTAAGTCAATACTGAATGGAAAATCCATTGGCAGTAATTGGCTGCTGTCAGTAGTTTTGGATAGGTCTCTACCTGCTCTGCACACTGATGATGAAGTTATGTTTATTCTTCCTGGCAAAATTGCTACAGTTATGACAATTCCCTTACAGTATCAATTGGGGCCTGCAAGTGTTGAACTGCACCATAAATGTTTTATTGCATACAAGTCAGAACTTGAACTGGGCTACTCAAAGGCATTCACTTTCTTCATTGTCATTTGGGGTTCTTTTTAAGTTCATTGTGATGCTGAAAAGTGAATTTTTGACTTAATTTTTTATTTGTGGGAGATTCAAGTCGGGTTTTCCATAGAATTTGCCTGAATTTTGCACCTTACATTTTGTCCTTTATCCTGAAGAGCTTTTTTAGACTAAAAAAATCCATATTTGTCATATTGGACCATAAAACATTCTTCAAAATATCTTGGGGAAATCTTAAGATGAGCCTTTTTTCATTAAAGACTTCTTTCTTGCCATTCTTCCACACCGATCAGTTTTGTGTAGGGACCAGGATATTGTCAATCTATGAACATTGACTCCAATCACAAAAACAAAACTTTACAAAGTCAATGTTTATTTTACAGTAGCATCTTTAATCAGTTTCCTGCTTACCCAGGAGCAGAATTTAGAAAAGTGACCTAATCTAGGTAATATCTGCCTGGAACGATGCATATTTCACTTTTTAATGATGAATGAACTCAATGAGATCAGTAATATTTTCCTGATCTTGCCCCTACTATGCAATGCTTGATTTGTTTTAATAGCTACTTTGTTTTCATGGTTGATTTTTTATGTGATTTAAGGCTTGCAATTTGATGTCTGTCTCAGAAAACTTAGATATGCATTTATTTTAAAGTCACATTAAGGCACTTTCATTACACATGAACAGAGACCATTAAATGAATTGTGCAATGTTTCAAGCTATTTGTTTGCACGTGAACTAATTTTGGGTTCCTGTAGCAAAGGCTTTGAATACTTCTGAAGGGTTTGAGTACTTGATTGCTTCTTCTTTAAAAAGTGCATCAATTTACATAAAATTAGCAAAATATCAGTTTGAAGCACAATGTGTTGAATCTAAATAATAAAGTACTACTTGAAAGTGTCAAACAAAATAGTGGAAAACTGCAAGGTAACAAATACTTTTACAGGGCACTGGAAAAATGATAGTGTTATCATAATATGAAAATCATATTTCATATCAAAGATCTACTGAGGTAAACAGAACAAGACGTTAAAAGACAGATGAATAAATAGTGAGTGTGTGTACTTTCTAACTAACATCCTTTTGACTCTTCTAGGACAAAATGTACTTCACAAGTGATTGCTTTTCAAGCAGGTCTTTCTTTCTCTTAAGAGTACATTAAGATTTATAACTACAAAAACGGTTCATTGGTTACAATAGAACATTCAATAGCAACCAAAATCTAGACTATTAGAGGGCAGAAAGGAATGTGTTCCTGTTTATGTCTTTATACCTTATATGTACATGAAAAGAGATTTTTTGTGATGGCTGTATCAATGACATTAATTGATCCTCAATTAAATAAAATGAATGTTTTAATTAATGACCTCTAGTAAAATAGGACAAACAATAGGTAAGCAGGCAAATCAAAGTTACCGTGACAAAACACAAGTTTGCTCTTGTTCAAAATCCTTATATTAAATAAATTAAGCAAAGCTCATCACTCAGTTACATCTTTTAAGGTTCCACAGCTCCACTATACATGGTGAAAAAAATTGGCAGTTAATTAAATCTCTTTTTTTTGTTTCACTCTCAATACTGAAACTATATAATTCAGTTAGTTTAATTTAAGTTAAACAAAGGGCTCTTTAGAGAAAAAATAGAAACTATACACAAATTAAAAATGTGTACCATATACGTGATTGATGCACAAGACACTGTTACTGCCACTTTATATTAAAGGCTGGATAGTAGAAGCCAAATGAACCAAACATAGAGCACTACAACATAATAAAATGGTACCACACCATTAAGTGTTGTTTCTGTTTATTCCAACTCTTCACTTCCAGGGTGATACATGTCTATCACCCCCTGTCTGGTACATGTTTACATATAGATGGTGCAGGTTACATAATCTTCTATTTTATATCCTAGCTAGACAGTATGGTAAGAGTGCACTGCCCAATTTACTGTATTACACCCACCTAAGGGTTTACAATCCTGTTATCCACCTCCTCGTCCTGAACACCATCCTAATCTCTGGATGCCTAAAAATCTAGCTAGAGACTTACATACCTTTGCTACAAAACAAAGCCATTCCTCTTCTACAGTCACAGGCAGCCCCAAAACTATTTGACTATACCATTACCAGAACACCTGAAGATTACAAGCTAGCCATGTGCCTCTATTCCATATCCCTTCACGCATCTGACGTCTGTCGGACCGCCTACAGTAATCATCCTCTGTGTTGTCCATATCAAGGAGAAGGATAGCAGTGGCAGCGCACACAGCTGAATGGCTATCACATACTGTACGTGAGCAAGTACATATCCACATGGAATATGAAGCATATGACACAGTAGCCTCAGCTCAACAACTGCAAAAAAAAAAAGAAACGGTTCCAGAGTCCTTTGCAGCTACTGCCTCATGTGGGTGGAGTCTCCGCACGAAGCGCTATCGGTTTGTACAGAGATTTAGAGCTTAATTTGCTTGGAAATAGCCCAGTAACCGGTAGGGGAATGATTTCACGTTAACACGTTAAAAACAAAGAATATTTATTCACTCAGTAATATTCTATAATTAAACTAAGTATATTTCAGTTTGATGAGTATATATTTAGAACACTGGTAACAGATATTACGTCGACATTAAATTCAATACAATTCCCGTTGTTTAAATCGCAGGTTTCAATAATATTATCGGTGTTTTGAGAATCTAAAGCACTGGGTGTTTGTCTTCACGGTTATCAGAAGACAGTGAATACAGATCCGTACCACGACCTCAAATCTCTTAAAACATTTCCGTCTGAGTCTTATTTCTACAATATCCATAGTAGCAGGTAGCTACTGTGTACGGCTCCTGTTCAGTTCCAATTTATTAGATTCGCACAATGGTACCGAATACGAAAACGTAACGACTTATGCCAAAGTATGCTTTTTATTTTGAAATAAAGTTTTATTTTATTAAATGGAAAAAAGTATGATACAAAATGCTATTAGGCGATCACAGTCATACGTCTGCTTTGTAGTCTTCTGAATGTGCTCATAGTTTCCCTCTTTACACACGCATCTTCGTTGATGTAATGCTTGCGTGTGCTCTCTCCCTACTGTGTGCTATTCAGGAACTGCTGGATGCTTTTTTCTCAAGATTTTGACTAGTGTAGAAATAGAATTTATGACGAAACCGATCATAAGAATATTAAAATTATGTTTCAATGAGCTAGGGTACCTTTTTTTCCTGCGGCGTTTGATTTCATAAACACTCTAGGGGATAAAAAAGAAAACAAAAGCAATCAAAACATTGTCATGTAAAATAAATTTATTATTTGTATAACCTAATCAAACGTATTAACATGTTATGTTGACTTGGGATCGTGCACCGTGATTAATAAGGGTGTAGAACGCGTTGTATTAAATTTGCAAATAATCCTATATGAGCAAGCAGGTTATTGTAGTTAATGTATTTCGGTTTAAAGTCGGTTTCTAGAATCCCACAGTGCACAGATGTAGAATTTTGAACTATTAATTTATTCCCACGTAGACGTCTCCTATTTTTTACCCTCTTCTTCATCGAGCGTTTAGAAAGACCTCTGTGAACCACAAGCCAGCCCCCCTGCAGTCGTTGGTCCAATGAGAATCTGGAAAAAAGATCTTAAGTCAGAGTGCACGCTACACTGGAAAAGAGCTGAGCTATTAAGATTGCCGTTCACTGTGTCTGGATAGTCCTGACTTTGATCCCACTTTTTTTACGAAAATAAGTGGACACGTATTCTGCACGTTAAAGGACGCAATTGCTGGCTTATTATACTGGAAAAGATTATTTATTTCAACGTAATTATTTTTAACAGAGCAAGCACTGTGAAGTTGGAAGTCTCATGAAGTTTTCAAGCACCCATTAAATCGACGGAGATATTCCTCAGAACCATGGGATTTCACTTAGTTGAGGATTGCAGTTAACTCTAAAGAAGGAGGACTGTTACAAAATAAGGCGAACTTCTGTAAGCTTTGCGATCATTTTTGTTTCTGTGGATACCAACAGATTCAGTACTGACAAACTAGCCCAAATTAATTCTGAGGGGTTTCACTGAGGTGGTTCGTCTCAAAATCGTGCTGGGTTGGAAATGGAACCAATGTCACTATAGCCTTCGCGGGGGAAATAGAGAATTTCAACCGGCAAATGATTGAAGAAATTAGCATTTTATCTAAAGATTCTGAACTTCGAAATTCACCCTTGGAATACAACCATGAACTTTATTCTCAGTATAATAAATATTGTTTTGGCGGCACTTCTATATTTATCAACTGTAAAGGTAAGCTCTCTTCATATTTTGAAGAAAGAGTCATTTATAAACCGAAAGGTCTTGATTTCTCATTAATGAAAAGATTGTCCTTGTAGACCTCCTACTAGGTCATTCTTCATTTTCGAACGCTCAGAATTGGTAGATTGCTTTTTTAGACAGGCAGCCGTCTAGCTACATTTGATATTGCTTAATTGTGGTTTTAGTCATCTGAAGTGAAATTTCTGGTTCTTATTTCTTTTTGTTTGCGTTTGAAAACGTGGTGAACTTTCACATCTATACAGCACGGCCTTCTCAGCCACATACAATTATGACGCTTAAGTTAAAGGTACAGTAACAATTTTAGATTGAAGTTCGGAGTTCAGGTCTACATCTGACAAGCCTAAACTCTACCCAGGAGCTCAGTGTAGTTAAGCCGGAGTAGTTGCGATTTATGGAAATGTGTTTCCTCTTAGAAAATGTGGAAAGCATTGCCGTTCTGCTCTTAAATGGTTAACGCACTTGAATTATGGACTAGTATATTCAAGATTTTATTAGAAAAAAAATGACTTTTTGCCTTCAGCGGTGTATTTTTATTTGTCGATATTTCCGCATTTATAACATTCATATATATTCAGTTTATATTGCTGAGACAGTGACAAAGAGCTAAAACTGAATTCTATATGCCTCAACCTTTTACATTAGGTATGACATTTCAAATTACCTTGATTAAGTTAAATGTCATTTTATATTAACGAGAATCGGAAAAAGACCCCGGTGAATAATTCATTTTAAAGTCAAATTACACACGCGGTGTAGTTAGATGTAAGGAAAGCCAATGTCGGTTACATTAATATAGGACAAAATCTGTAAATTCAAGATGTACACCGCGGTAAGCGGTTAATTCCACTAAAAAAAATAACTTTTTTTCCCCCAATTTCAAGGCAATGCGGAAGTTTTCTAATTCACGCTTAATCCAAAACCCGGCGGCGCACAGAAACCCATTGTTCGAAAGAACAGTCCCCAAGTACTCTGAGCTCGCTGGCACTGGCTGCTGTATCTGCATAGTCTTCGAGTGCCAGGAACCGGTGCTTGCGTTTTTTTATTTGCAATCATACATAATGAATGTAGTGACTCGATAGATAACACTGTAACTCCAGTCCCAATTATATAATTTCGTAAAATGTGTCGGCGTTTTAGAAAATCATACCCCCTCTTTATTATTACTTTTTTAAAACGTTTAACTGTGTCATTTAAAGCGTCTGGGTGTAAACTTATCACACCATAACGGGGTGGGGACTTGGGAGCACTGACCAGGAAAAAAAAAACCCTCTGAAGTTGGCGTTTTTCCTGAAAGAGAACGTCTCTAAAATTATAGTGTCTTTTTTGCTTGCTACATTTTCTTTTAAAAATGCAATAAAGTAGACGTTTGCAGAATCTTAATATTGCTCAGTGTTAGTCTTAAAACTATTTACTGTAGTATTGTGCAACTTTTTGGCTAATGTGGAGGTACATGCAAATATTATACAGCAGGCATGCAATAAATTCCGTGGTATTTACAGTTTAGGGGATGTTCAAACATTTGCAATGCTTTTCATAAGTATTATAAGTCTTTGCTTAAATTTGTTGGAATTTAGACTGTTTTTACCCTTTTTTTCCACGGGAAGATTCAATAAGTCATTCGTTAATTAGTAAACATGATCACCTGAATTATAGAAATCTCTTGAGGCGTTAAATTCGTCATCAGTCGGAGTGAGCGTGCAGCCAGTTTCAGACTCAGTTCTTTGAAACATATTGAAAACGTGTGTGCAAGAGACATTCAGAGACGTCTGGGTTCATGACAACTTTGGAGACATTGTGAAACGAACGTTTATTCGAGGCATGATTTCATGACTTTCCTTATTTAAAATATGCATTTACATGTTTAATACCGCTTCACCCCAAAAGCAAAGAACGGCTCCGAAAATTACAGATTTGTGAAACTAAAGCCTAACATTTTAAACACGACACAACCTTGTCATATTCATGGGAGTGATGGAAACCATATGCGTATCTTGGATATCCTGAAATCGATACTTCCATGTATTCTAAACGAGATCCCTTAAAAAGAGTATCTTCTTAAGAAATGAAGGCGTGTCTGTATGATGTGATATGTTAAGTGATTTCATCATTATTGATTTTTCCCTTGCCACATGATGCTTCCTTTTAAACGATAAAACAAATAGTCCATTTTGAAGTGTAAAATATTTTTAAAGTATCAAGTTTTAATGTCAATGGCCATTTTAATTGCCACAGTATCTTTTTATTTCCCATAGACTGCTCACATACCTGTAGATGGGGAGAGAAGTCCAAATGAAGGTAGGTGGTTTACAGCAAGACAATGAGGAGTTATGGGAATTAAGTGTTTTATTGGGGGAAGTGCATTTTTTCTGGAGAGAGACGTTGTTGTGCTGCCATCTTGTGGAACAAATCTGATTAGAGCTGTGTCCTGTTTCTGTAGACATTTCATGGTACAAAATGACCTTAAACGACGACCAATTGTGGCCGGTTTTCATAGAAATGTTTTGGGAAGCTTAGTTAATGCTAAAAAGCTCTATAGTCTCCTAGTGAGAGTTTAGTGTATACCACGCTTATTTATGTTTATCATAGGTAATTCTGAGTTTCCCAAACAGAATTTAAGTTACAATTACATGCACCTGCAGGAAAATAAATGCTATTGTGAAACAGTATCTGTTGTTAGAAATCACAGATTTTTTCAGTCAGGAATCACTCCAAAAATGCATTTGTAGTTTCTGTTAGTTGGTTAAAATTTATAATATCCAGATATGGAATAAACTAAACACTTATCCTAGTACAGTACTGGTTTTGAACACTTAGTTAAGTCAGTAACCTTCAGCTTCAGATCTTTATTTGTTTAATGGCAATGTGATATGTCAACAAATACCATCTGTTCTGCCTAATTGTGCTTATCAACCACTTACGTAAAAAAACAATAAATTATCTTTTATCAGGGAATGGGTACTTGTTTGCTTCTTCAGTGATGTTAAATGTTAGGTCTATATCATGTGATTCTATGATAGTCTTCAGATTACTTCTTTGATGTTTGGCTTTTGAATGCCAACCTTTGTTAACACATAAAATTATTGAAATTAATTTTCCCTGCTTTAACATTGTTGTCAAGTGAGTTTTGTAGGAGATAAGAAAAGTATGGAATCAGGTTTCATGTTTTTATCACAAAAACATCCCTGATCAGTCAAACTTATGTACTTCTAATATCCATTGCCAATGCTTATTTATTTTAAGAAAGTGCTCAAGTTCTATAGCTGTTTAAGAAACACATTCAGGTTGTTATTGTAGAATGAATAAATTGAGGATTAGTCTAAATTCTGTTCAGGTGAAAAAATTTCTGAAAAAACTGCAGTTGTTACAATGGTGGATTTTATGGCTATTTAGGTAAATAAAATTATTTAGTAATTATGAAAGACTAGACTATTCTCTTAAAGCTTTTGCATACGTTTTGATCAAGGACCAAGACCAATACCCTTGTCATGATTTGATGATGCTGTTTTTGTTTAGATGAAGAGAGGGAACCGGAAACTAGCTTTGACATGCAAGTGAATATGTAACCGAATATATAAAGACAGCCTGTACAAAAGATTGCTTTGTGATTTTTCTTTTAGATCAACAGTACTGGATATCAGCTATGCTTTCATTTGTGATCCATTATTATACAGGAAATGTCTGCCATGCAGAGACAAAACATGCATACATACTTTTATCTAATTATGAACAACCCCAGCTTATTCTTCCAGGGACTGCTCAAAACTATGGTTTTGTCCATAGCTGTTGAATATGAGAATGGTAGCTACACCTTGCTAAAGTGGAGGTCACCTGTGTTCTGTTTTTGACTGTTGCAAGGTTATTTTGAAAGGGGTTATTATGCCAGTGTTGATCATCTATTCTTTTCCACTTTTTTAAGTACTTTGTGCTGCATATGTTTAACTATAGGGTACAAACTACAAAACACTGAATACAAACAGGTTGCTTCAGCCTAGGATCAGAGTTAAAATGCCTAAAGGCTCTGACACAGTAGAGCCTTTTTAGATAAAAAGGTCCTGTCTATCTTATTTAAACCAAACTTTTGAGGGTTGTGTTATATTTGGGATTGGCATTTGGCATATTGTATGTCTGGTTGGCAAATTTATTTGTCCTGTCATAAGGTTTTGAGAATTGTTTTATACCCCTAAATCTTACAGTTCGAAAGTTCTCATAGTCTGCTAGCTCCTTTCCTTTTAACATTAACAAATTACCAAATACTAAGCAATTTATTAAGCCTGATTCTATACTACATATTTTTGTTTTTAGTTAAGTGGTCTACCTTGACAACGGTAGGGAGATGTGTTGGTTTTATAATGATATAACAGAAAGAACGTCCGTTTTGTGTCCAACTCTAGTTAAAAGGTAAAATCTGTGTCCTATAAATCAACCTGCTTTCTTTTCTATCATTATCTTTATAATAAACCACAAACAAAATTACAGTTTTCCTTTAGAAATACAATTACACTGTTAAGATACCATTTGCAACAGCGAGGCTATTTTTTAGCACATGTATATTACCTTAAGACCAGGGGTAAGTCAGAAGGTTTCTGGTTTTCTTTCTTTTTGAACCATTAATTACCTAGTTGATCTCACTATTTGCTTAATTGGACAAGTTGAAACCTTTCTTTGTTCTTAAGAACCTGGAGATTTAAGGAGCCATGTAAAAGCAGTTGGACAGAAGCCCTTGTGGACTGGAATTGGGCATCTCTACTTTAGATGCTTTTGGCATTTGTTTCGCAAGAGTAGACTAATAAATGGGGCATGTTATGTTTCTGTTTGGCTCAAGACAGGGCCAATGTAATGTAATGCATCAGCACTGATCTGTTATTTTTTCATTATGATTTACAGTTATACCGTTTTTGGAAGTGTACAACAGGAGCTACTGTAAAACGAGAGAAACCTTAGTAGACATCTTCCAGGAGTATCCTGATGAAATTGAATATATATTCGCACCTTCATGTGTCCCACTCATGAGATGTGCGGGCTGCTGCAGCGATGAAAGCTTCGAGTGTGTTCCAAATGAAACTTACAACATTACAATGGTGGTAAGGGCGTACCTTTTAAACATTTTCTCTTGCGGAATCTTCCAATAACTTTTTTAAAATCCAAATGTCAAAATAATTGAGGATGCAAGAAATAATTTCCAATGAATCATTTATCAAGCACTTGGTTCACATTAGAGTACAGTAAGAGGACCAAAATTATTTAAAAAAAAAACATTTTAGTCTGGCTCAGAAAAGTCTACATCTAAAAAATACATAAAAGTAATACAATTCTAAAATAACTTCTGACTTCAGAACATAAGAGTGGTTACAAACAAGAAGACGCCTTTCAGCCAATCTAAAATTATGAGGTGGTTAATTGACTGAAGGATTTAAGTTACTTCTAGGAATGTCTGTAATTGACATAAACTTTGTTATTCTCACAAAAATGGACACTCACTCCATGCTGCCAAACAGAATCATTTCAATTGCAACTGCAATCCTCAACATAGTGAAATTGTCTAGTTTCCTGCAGAATTGTTTTGCACTTTAGATAAATATCGGCCTTCGACTTATAACTTTCTAAAAGAACAGGCCTTTCATCACAAGCATCCTTCATCAACAGCATTCATCAATAGCGTCCACATTATTGCATCCTAATGTAAGAACAGAAAAAAAAATCCAGAATAGGCTCTTTTGTCCATTTGAGCCTGACATTTTACTAAGCAATCACAGCATGATATTTTTTTGACAAGTTTGTGTAGCTGCTTCAACATTGTGACTTGTATAGATGTCTGCTTTCATAAGAGTCTGAAGTGTTTCTGTCATTGTATAATCTTAAGAGTTTTGTAATGTAGTGCTCTGTAGTTTTGTTCAGTGTGGATTTGGCCATCCATCTTAGGTAACACAGACCAATTTAGTTCTGTTACCGCTGCACGTACGCAGAGCTGAGAATGTTCCAGTATCTTGTGATCAGTAGTGTCAAAAACAAACTAAGGTCAAACTGAGGTAAAACTGCCATGTGTGTACTGTCGGAGGTCAACTGTATATTTGTAATTATTTGTAACCTTGACAAAGGTTGTCGGAGGGCTAGGAAAATAATAGGAGTTGTACCTTAATGTTACTAAATTTCTTACAGGATTTTGTATGTACGCCATAAGGTACACTTCATAAATTGGACTATTTCACTTTAATTGGAAAAAATTTCTGGGGGTATAACAAGTGACATCATCTGATGTCCTTTTTATTGAAACGTTATGCATTGTACTTATGTGTTAACCTTTAGTCCAGCATGTAAGATAAAAAATCTAATGATAAACTTCCAATTCAGCATCATTATGTATAAGCAATGTTTGATGCTGTTGTCCATTAGAATGAGCATTATGAAAAGTTGTTGATCATCAGATCTACTGTTCACTATAATCATCACCCTCAATCTGTGCTCTGTGAGCTTTCTATAACTAAACTTCATGCACCGAGTGTTATGCAATGCTGTTGTGTCAAAAGAGTTTCATCATAATATTTGGAGGCATTGCCTTATATAAGTCACAAGTGAAATCCTGCATTGAGACAGAGCTGTCTGGTTTTGTTTACAATAGCTAATGACTGCTGAAATTGTCTGCATCCTTTGCAATTTGGCCAGTTTTTTTAATTCTCCATCCATATTTACAAAGGACTTTGCTCAACCAAAAAACATATTCCACATAGTATAAGAACTGGCTATATAGATTACAACATGCACTCAACCTGAAAATTAAATATTGAAGTAATTTTTGTATCTCATGCATGTTACAGCATATAAAGTTTATAAAGCTACCACCTGCAAAGTAAGATAGTGATCACAGTATTACAATTAGGTTTTACTACAATTACTTGTTTTGTAAACAGCATGTTTTTGCTTTTAATAGGTCAAGAAAATCAAGCCCCATCATTTTGATCATACAGTACAAATGAGTTTTACAGAACACAGAAGATGTGAATGCAGGTAAGAATATATTTTAAATAACAATAGCATGGCAGCCTTTTAAGCATAAAGAATTGATAGTTAAATCATGCTAAATAATTATTTTCTTCATCTTTGCAGACCAAAGAACGATGTTAAAGAAAAAAAAGAAAAGTAAGTACAAATATTGTGACATTACCATGGGAGACTTGGGAGAATTATTTCTTGTCACATAATTTACCACATGAATTAGAGATAAGACATAGCCTCCATATTTAACAAAAACACTGCCTGTGCTTCTTCTGTGGGGAAATCTCCTTTGCTTCTCTGAAATTTTCTTTATTAATGTCATTTTATGTGTATTTAAATTTAATGTATTAATGTATTTAAAACAAAGGAAATTTATATATTAATCTGCCCAAGATGTCCAGCTCTTTAGATGAACAGGTTAAATTCACATACAGGTCATGAGATTTCAAAAGTGAGAAACTCATACAAGTATTCAGAAACCAAGCCATTGACAAATCCAAAACAAAGTTAAACTCATGTAGAAAGGACAACAACAAAAACTTGATAGTCTTTTCTGGGAAAGGCTATCCAGCTATGTTGTTGAAGCCAGGGTCCTTCACAGAGCAGCCTGATGGTATTTCAGGAACAACAAGCCACTTGCAGCCAGAAGTCCCAAGATGGCTGAATGGCAACTGAATTATTTTTTTATGTTCCCTAAGTTCTTGTTCACAAAGAATTGCTGTCACATCATAAACAGATCTTATTCAAATGGAGAAAGTTTTGTGGTCATAAAGATTAGAATAGTCATACTGAGTCAGCTGCCTAACTTTTGAGCGATATCATGGACAGAAATGCAGAAACATCAAGAATAGATGTTTAGTGTCCTCTAAGTGTCTGTTTTTTTACTGTTTAAAGCTTGTATTCAGATTATTAAATCATTCTTAACCTATTGTTTTCAGCTCTTTAACAGTACTTTAAAGTCCTATATGCCCCTGCTTCAGAGGACAAAAGGGGGTAGAGAACAGGTGTTCCCTTAATTCCTGTTGTGAGTGAGTTGGGCCAAATAATATTTTCATGTTTTTAAGAGTAAAAGGAGAAAAGTACATATTTTAAACACCAAAAAAGAAAACACGATTCCTTTGCCTCACAGAGTATGACAGGCTTTGGTTTCTGTCACCTCTCAGCAGCACAGCTGTGGCACCTGCTGTACTCATCAGTCTTCTTTCACACTGAGGCAGAGAGACAACACTCCTGAGGTGCATCTCACTCAGGCATGATCATAAAGCACTCTAGCATGCAAAATCTCCTGCTGCTACCCTGGGACCAGACTTCATTGCATGATCAGATAAAAAGCAATGTGTCTGGTTTTTTTTACCAAGAAATGTGGTGTTTGGGCAGATCTAGGAATGGAATATTTCACATTAGCATGACATTAAATGAACAATTTGCACAGAAGGCTGAAAGGCAATGGTTTGGTGAATATGGAGAGCTTGAAACCCAATTAAGTCTGACCTTTCCCATTATCTGTTGTGCTATCATGCACTCAGAAATGTTACAGAGATGAGAAGCAGCAAGCACGACACTTGTCATGATAGCTGTTCAGGTTTCTTGTGTTGTTGAAGGTGCAGTATCTTTTGTTTTGTTCTAAACAAAAAAAATCCTTAGAAATAATGTGTTGCTTGACTTCAAACAGTATTTGTCTGCTATGTCCTCTGTCATGTAGATATTGTTATACATTCGAGCTGGTCTAGATTTTCATTGTCGTTCATATAGTAAGAGCTGACATTGTAAAATGTCATGATAGAAGTGAATGTACAGGGTTTTTTCAGTTTTGGATTGAATCTGCCTTTTCTCTATTATGTATGTACCTAAGTAGAATTCATGTTTTATAACCCAGAACTTGCATTCCATGCTTTTCAGACAGCCATGCATTTGCACTTTAGGATGTCCTAGTTCAACATTAACTACTTGTCAGTTTTACCATGAAGAGCAGGTGTTAACTATGCACTTTGTCTGCACTCCCAAAAAATAAAACTAATATTTCAGTATTTATGATGAAGGCAAATCTACTTTTACTTAAATGACTATACCTTTGCATTGTAAATGTATACAGAATCTAGAACTATAAATATGATGTTTGTTATTTTGTACCTAAAAAATTTAATGATATATTTTACTGTACATGGTTGCAATTATATGTATATTTGTATATATATATAAATATGAAGGAAGCAGTACTTGTCTTACCATCTTAAAGCTGAGTGATACCTTTAAGACATGTTGCTATTGAATTTGTGATTTTTGCTTTATTAGTGAAATACAAAATGGATATACATTATTATAGGATTTTATATGAGGGTGGGCACAAAGAAAACACCTTTAAGACTAAGAGAAGATTGTTCAGATAGTCCGTTTAAATAAACTTTACCCTTCTTTACGAAACATCTTGTAACATCAAGCTGATATTTGGGGAATACTGTTTTTCTTTAAGCTAATAGATATCCAAAATGTATCCATCTTATATCCATGATGTGTCTGACCAAGAAAGCCATTTTTTTAAGTTTGAAGCTCTTGAATGCAACTACAGTTTCCTGTTCTGGCACCTTTAAACCTGTCTGTGCTTTCAATTTGGAAACTCATGAACCTTGGGACAACTGGTTATGAGACATGTACATTACTACTGCTTTACTAATACACCATAGGCTTGCAGATCATCTGATTAAGAAGCTTACAGCTTAATGCATCATTTAGTTAATTTTGTTATTGGTTTTGTGTTGGATAACATTAATATTTTCTGAGTTTTTAATGTTTGATGGAAGTGGCGTGGGAAATGAAAAATGTTGTCTGAATTCCTTGGTGAATGCAAGCTGTAGCATAAATCTTCACTTTTGCAGTGTGTTGGGAACATTTGTCATTTCAACATGACTAAAACCAAAAAGCTTGTTTACTATATTTGGCGAGAAAGTGTTATTTTTTATCACCTCCATTGAGAGTGCAGTTTTCATTTTATAAACAGACCATAAAGTTTCTATACTACTGTCCCAGGAAATTTAGATGTTTGCGATGTTTTTTTTTTCTTCCTTTATTTTCCAGAAAATCCAGGAAGGGCAAAGGCCTTAAGAGAAAAAGAAAGAAAAACAGAGACAAAAAGCTCAACTCGTATGTCAGCTGTGCATTTTCCACGCCACAACTGCATTTGAGCATTTCACTCTTGATTGTTAAGTTAATTTGGGAGGAAGTTCTTTATGTTGTATAAATTGACTCTGAACTTGGCATGAGGCTTTTTTCACTTGGTTACGACACATCTTTCTGTAATCCACTAGAGCAATGGTGTGGCTCTTGGTCCACATAAACGAATTAGGAAAGGTAATGGCATCACTACGCATGGCTTTTAGACAATGATACTAATCACAGACATGCAAAATCACATTAGCTGATGCATTGTTCAGCCTAGGTGCTACGGTGTCTTTTTAAACCCCACAGTTGAGGTCTCTGAAAATTTGGTTTCAAATAAAACATTAGGAGTTATATTTTAAAATTATTTTTGCTGTTGTGGTTCACTGCTTGCAGGCTGGTTTGTGTTGATTTGTGGTTTGTTTAGGTCTCTCCTTTTGGTTTATTGAACTATATAGTTTTGGTGTAATGGTGTGGCACTGTTGGTGCAGAGTAGGTGTCGGTTAGATTTCTGATAAAGAATATGGTTAACCAACCATTTCCATGTATCTGATAACATTACAGTGCTGATCCATATGATGTGTACACTACACTCTGAAGCGTATTCTGAGTGTCCATTCTGGTCAAATGTTGTTTCACATGACAATTGACATTGTTACATTGATATGCAGTAGACAAGTACTGCCCAGTAGTAATGATTATTTAAAACAAATTGAATTGTAATTATTCATAGCTCGTGTTGCTTTGTTTTTTCCCCACAGTTGTAATTCCCAGTTCCTTACTTAATATTCAAAACTGTGAACAATTAATCCTAATAAAAGATACTGCATCTTTAAGAAAAAGATATTTGAGTTTTATTTAATCATGAGCATGGTGATCTTTATGTAAATAACAAAGGAAATTGCAATGATTGATTTGATTACACTGAAAGTTGTAATATGACTCTACATTTTTCAGTTTGACTACAGTTGTGCATTAGAAATAAACTTTCATAGCTAGATTTTGATTGCAGAATTATGTTTTTACAAATTAAAAGGGAAAGCTTGTAGTTCTTTTTTTAGTAAAACTTTATTATTATTATTTTCTAGAATAAACGGAGAAAGTGTACGCGTGTTTTTTCGGATGGGGTGTGTTTGTTCTTGCTGCTTCTGGAATACAGCTATGCACAAGCTTTAAAAGTATTTGTTACTAATTTATCAAGAACTGGATGCTTTGCATTTGCCAGACAGTTATAATGATGTGAGAGGTCACATGGTTCACATCATGCACTTTAGCTTTTCAAAGAACAAATACGCACAACTACATTGTTGACTCAGACCTTTAAACTGACCTTGCTTTATGCATGCTGATTTAAATGTTGTGTATAAGCTGCTGCTCTGCTAGAAACTTGATTTCCTAAGATCTCTTTTAACAAACTGTGCAAAATCACCATAGCTGTTCCACCACCTGGAACAGTATACCTATTTGAATGTAGACCTAGATATAAACAACATAATTTCTTACCAATAAGAAAACAAACAAAAAAGCTAAAGAGCAATGATGTGGAGTCACTCTGTTTAAAGTCCAGCAGCTTTGTTACCTACATCAGTGGAGAAATATTCTCCATAGCTTTTCTTTTTGGAAGGTATGCTTGTTGTTTTAGGGTTGGTGCATGTTATTTCTCTCTCTGCTAAAGCTCTGTAGCTTAGATATCTTTTTTTTTTCCTCTTTTGCCTTTTTGCAGCCACTGTGAGCCTTGCTCAGAGAGAAGAAAACGCTTGTTTGTACAGGATCCACACACCTGTAAATGTTCCTGCAAATTTTCTCAATTACATTGCAAGTCCAGGCAACTTGAGTTAAACGAAAGAACTTGCAGGTTTGTTTAAAATTAAAATAAAAAATATATGTAAATATATTAGTGATAAAAAGTATGCTTCTTGCTGGATTCTAGTGCTTTTTGATTTTGCTTTTAATGAAGAAAAGAGATATGCCAGGAATATGCCTTAAATGAATATGCCATCAGCTTTATTTTCTGTTGTCCCTGCTATTGCAAGCATTTGCATTCTGCATTCCTTACCCTTAATGCTTGCTCTGCTTTTCAATAATACAGGACTTAAAAGACTTTTCAGTGTTTGATATCACTGAAAATGTACACATTGCCATACTAAAATGTATTTCCTGTACGTTTAGAAACATCTAGATTGAACAAGGAATTTCTGTCATAGGGATAGAAGTAGCTGTTCAATTAGATGGTTGTACAGATATTTAAACTGAATTTGAGTGCATTTGATTGCCTGCAGCAAAGTAGTGTTCTCATATAAGCAAGAGTTTCCAAGCTCTTCCTGTAACATAAATGACTGTTTGTAGGGCTCTTATCTAACAGAATCTCACTGCTAGTACACAAAATGTTATCTGGAGGCAGATTCTGACATTAAGTAAATTGGTTTGTGAAAACTTGGCATAAATCCATTCATTCTCAGAATGTTAGGTTTTCACACCTGCTACATAGAACACAGTGGTGATATCTGTACTCAGATAGTGCTGCTAATGTAGTTTTAAAAAGATTTTTGTCTGAAACTGAAAATATTCAGTCTAGGCTATGTGGTATACTTCAGTAAAAGAAGTGGATGCTTTTTATTCTAGAATATCTGAGCATGGACTTTTCATTTGATTTGAATTTTCTTGGGGGCTCAAAGTGAAAGCTTTTTTTTGTGTTTTTAATGCTTGCTTCTCAGTGCTTAGTGCATCTATTATGCTAGATTTCTGGGTAATAATGATAAAAGGTGAAGGTTAAAAAAATAACTTTTGAGGAATTGAGAGGAACACCAGCATGGTTTTGATTTTTACACAGTGTTCACTTACCTCTGTAATTCTTTTCTGTTTTATAGGTGTGATAAGCCAAGAAGATGAGGGGAGGTGAAATGGACTTTGAAATGAAGGATATACAGGTAGTGGACAAAAAAATGGAAACCCCAAAGTAAGGTCACTTATCAGGGCGTTGGGCCACCATGTCCGGCCTGAACGGCCTGTAAGTACCGTGGCTTTGAGTCAGTCAACGTCTGAAATTCTGCAAGAGGGATGCGACACCATTCTTCCAAGTGAAAGTCTGTCATCTCGCGCCTGGTTGAAGGGAGGTGGAAACCGCTGTCTCTGGCGTCGATCTAGAATATGCCTTAAATGCTCAATTGGGTTTAAATGTGTAACTGAGAAGGCCATGGCATATGGATAACATCGGTGTTAAGATCATCAAACTACTGGGCGACCACACGTGCTCTATGGATGGGGGCCATTTTCATCTTGGAATAGACACCTCCCAGCAAGAAGGAAAAGCTGCAACATGGGGTGAAGATGATCACTCAGTAACATTAAGTAACAATAAGCATTGAACTTGCCTTCTAAGGGAATGAGTGCACCCAAATATTGCAAGGAAAATGCAGCCGACAACATTATACAACCACCACTACTGGAACCAAGCAGTCAGGACTGTAGAGTTCTTTAGGTTGGCGCCCCAAATGCATCCATCCATTTATTTCTAACATGGTGAAGGATGATCCATCTGATCATATCGCATTTCTTGACTGCTTAGTTTTGGAAAGTGAAAAGTGGAACTGCTGGCCCGTACGGGGGCCGAGCCCGTGACTGCCACCTTGACTGCTCGATAGCCAGTTGCCTGTGCTCTTTGCACCACTGGACTCACAAACAAATGTGTGATGAGTGGTTTGTCCACTGCAGCCCAAATAAGGTGTCCAACTCTGTGGAGTTATTGGTGAAACAGTTGATAAAGGCTACTCGCACCACAGGTTCAAATTTGCAAATGTGCTTCAACAATCACCCCTATTTAAAAGTCATTGAGGTAAGCTCTGGTAGCTGTGCTAACCATAATGATAGGCAGCCAGTACTGTCCAGCATTATTATAAATGACCCTAAGCATTAGGATGTGGTTAGAATAAGCCACACCTATATGGAAGCGCTGGCTTTCAATGTAAGCCCCTCATTTACCAAGTTGTTTCCATTTTTCTGTCCACTACCTGTACATAGCACAGCACTTTGAATTCTGATATTTTTCTCTGGAGATGCATTCCCTGGAATGATTGTTTTTTTTAAAGAAATCATCCTGTTGTATATTTTCGAAATATTAATATATAAAGAAAGTGATGAATATGTATTGCTGCTAAAGCCACCAGCTATGCTGGTGCATGAGATGTCTGGGATTCTTTTTTTTAAAAAAACAATGAACTTTATATTATATTCACTGGATTTGGGTCTGCTGTGGATAACGATGAGAAAATATGATTATAAGAGGTACATGAACCAGGACTTATGATGGAGTACTTCAATCCTTCAGGACAAACGGCTGCTTTTGTATGGGGGAATAAAGAAAATATACAGTACCAAGACACTTTCTGAAGGGATGAGACAAATGTTCCAACACTCGATTTGGACCACAGAACTCCCTTTATCATTTCACTTCCTGCTTCTGTGAGGTCCCAATTATATGGCCTCTGGGTGAGTGTCAAGAAGGCGACTGTAATGACTAACATCCAGTAGGACTCGGAAAGCATAAATTTAAAAGGGATATTAATTGTAGGTATATATGGAAATATAATTAATTACTTGATTCCATATTTTGCCAAGGTTCATTGGCATTCAACGGAACACTGTAAGGCCTCCTTTGAAGCCTCCATTTATTATTAAATTATTTTTTTTCCAAAGAGAGCATTGCACACACCACAATGAGAAACATTAAAAAAACAATATCTGTATATACATACTTAATATCCCTTTCGAGATGATGTAATACAGTTAATTTAAATTTTTAGAATATTTTCAGTATTCTTTGTGTATTTAATTTTATCTATTTATATGCAGTGTTACGTTCAGATGTTTTGCTATTTGTTTGCTGTAAACGTTGTTGATGCCAATCAGCCCGTCTCCCTGAAATACACAAAAATCACTGATGGCTTTTTGACTTTTTATAAGAAAGAAATACTTCAACATTCCCAAACCATATTTTGCTTTTAAGGTAAAGCACAAAAAATGAAATTCTGTTCATAAAAGTCAATACCTGATTTTTTTTTTTCCTGAAAGCTTTTTTGTGTAATAAAATTAGTCAACTGAATAAATTATTTGCTACCTTTAAAGACAGAGCCCAGGTTCTCTTATGAGTCTTGCATGCTTAACCTAAAGATCATGAGCCTATGTCCTGTACTACTTACTAAAATAGCCAGAGGTGACACTGAATGAATTCACAGCAATTGACGAAATTGTGTACTATGTATACAGTTTCTCGTTCTACCAGTGACCTTGTACGCTGTAGTGCCTGTCATCAAACTGCATGCTTTTTTACTAACTTGTAACGAAAGTATGTATCAAGACGCATAAGAGAGCCTAGGATTCTTGATTGGCACCTCAGAGTAAATATTACATTCTATTTGTATTAAACTGCAAGAAATGCTTTCTGTACCTATTCTGTACAGCCACATTTTTAGTATATTTTGTCACATTAATATATTTATTGGTGCTGTAAAGTGGTAAGTTTAAATATTAACATCTGTTTTAGTGTAAACTAGTATAAACATATTTATTTTCAAATTATATTGTTTTTTATTAAAGAAGAAAAAGTTGATTTCAGTTTGAAAGCCTGTCTTTTAAACCAGTGCATATATTATGCATTCTTTGGGTACAGTGTGTAGCTTACTCCATACTAAGGGGCTGTTAAATCTTTTCATACAACAGTGTAAATTTTATTTGAAATTTGTCTTGATTGACCATAGAAGATGGGAAACCTATTTAATAGACAAATATCATGAACAAGATGAATAATTTAATTGTGAGAAGTGCTTATTCACATATGATGTAGTGTTTCGTGTCACATTACTTACAAAATTACTTAATTAGCCATATAATTAAAAAAGAATCTTTACATCACATTTATTTTCACATAAGATATGGAAATGCTCACAGGTTGAAGTTTTAGGGTTTTCATGACGAAAATTAGGAGACATTTGTACACAGGATTGTGATAGTCTGGAACAGACATACAGTACTCAACATTAGCCTGAAGCTGATTCTGTGGTATCCTTATAAAAATGGCTTGATGTTATTTTGATCATTTAGCCACTAACAACCAAACAAAGAAGATAGGACTCCTCTTGTCTATGACCTTTCGTAAGTTATAAATCTTCAATGGAACATTAATAGCTGATGAACAGGTGAAATTTGTCCTATGCCACAGGACTATGAAAGTGAGCCCCTGTTCAGTATAGTTTTTTTCATTTAAGAGAAGTAAAATTTGGCTGTTTTCTTAGGTATATATTTTTATATTCTATAGTTGCACACAATGTTGGAGATGTACAGTACTAGTTCTTTAATGCATTCTCTAGAAATTATATGAATGCGTCGGTATCCATGGTAACCTTAAGACTATAAAGCACTATATCAGATGTTAAAATATTTTCATATTTTTTATATTTTAGCAACCTGTCCATATATTGTCACACATCTGAGGTCATCATGGCTTTTGCTCGCTACTGATCATCTTATTGAAGTTGAAAGGAAAGGAGATGGTTTGGTTAAAATGCTAAAGGTTGAAAACTGAAAAGAGACCAATGTTTATTTGAACAAGGATAAAAATAAACATAAAATTAAAATAGGCTACAGAATCAGTCTCAAAAGGTTCCATCATGTGTAGCAGTGCTCTTTGACTTATGATCTGGTTTGTTCTGGCTTGGAACCTTCCCAAAGAAGTAAAATGCTTACTCGTGCAATGTTGTTTATTTCTAAAGGTGCGTTTCCTTCTGCTTCAGCTGCACTGTGTATTTTTTGTGCCTCTCAATGAGGAATACTACAGGCAGCTGTGTGATGGTCTTGGAAATTGAGCAATCCCCAGTAACTTTGACACTAATCGGCCTGATGAAGTATCTGTAACACAGGTTTAGATGAATTCAGTGAACTTAACAATATCCCATAAAAAATAAACTCAAGGGAAAACTGAGTTGGAAATTGCATGCTATGAAATAATAGTTTTTTATTGGTTGGACCATGTTAGAAACATTGAAAACCTTGTATATTAAGAAAGGAACAGATATTTCACGAGGTAAACAACAGGATGAGAATCTTACTTTTGAAGATGTGGCTATCTTATCAACTGCTGTAATTCAAGAAGATGAATAAAAAGTTTTTGTTATGAACAGGACTTGGAATCTATAGTGACTTAACGCTTACAGTACATAAAGTTAATGTTTATGATACACTGACAGTGTTCTACACAAAACATTGGACATAAGTTCTTTCAAATAGTTTCCATGATGTCTATGGTGCAGTGCTGACTAGGCCACCCATGTCATCTGATCTGAGTAAATGTGATTTTTACTTGTGGAGATACCTGAGTATTCCCAACTAATCATTGAGGATTTAAAGGCAGCAGTTAAGTCATTTATTCCATTTCACATGACACATTTCTGAGTCTATTGTGGAATTTGGCTGTGTTCTTGTGAATGGAAATATTGAACGAGTTTCAAAATGGGATATTAATTTCTAATGTTTCCATTTAACATCTTGAAAATATGTATCTTCCCAAGGAGAATTTATCCTAGGGATTTTGCACTCATTTGCTTTCCTTCAGTGTGAAATAGGGTTTGTCCTTGTAATGCATGTCAGAAATATTTTAGGATTATTTTATTTCCAGTATAGCCTATGCCCTTAGGTGTCGCCCATCAGTGCACCTTGTACTATTTTAGAAACCTCATCTTTACACTTGCTTTCAAGGTCCCTGTTTTTTAGACTTTCCACTTTTTTTCTTAATAAGCACGTTCCTTTCAATTTCATCTTTAAAGCACTGGTCTGTTATTTTTCCCTTCCACTACCTATAGTACTTATAGTATAGGAGAGTTTGCTTTTTCCATTCATGTCTGGCAAAAGTGAAAATAATATGGCACCACAGCAAATCACTTTCATTAACTCTCAATAAATATTTTATCACAATCAATTTCACTCTACTAGATGGGCTGAATGGCTATCCCCCCTTGGCAACCATTCTTACGTTCTGATGTTTAGCAATCAGATTTATGCAACACCACAGTTAAAACCTTCCAAGCTTTGTTTGAAAGACTGTAGGAAAATAATACATAAAACCAAAAATCTGTTAATTAAAATATATGAAATGTACTGTACCTTCTACACTTTTTTATAGCTTCTTTGACTTGAAAAACAGACATACTAGCTGGAGGAATGTTTACTGCTTTTGTGAACTTTGTGACACACAGGGCCAGACTGGGCAAAGCACTAGATTACACACAGATTATCAAGCTTATAGCTGGGACAAAGTGTGATTTGTACTGATGTGATTTTGGAACTTGCTTGTGGAACGTCTCAGCTTGAGCACATGCGACAGCATTGAACACATGTTCTGAGGCTTGGATTTTATTAAACTGCACAGTGATTTTGATGATGGTCAGGACAACGGTAGATGTGTTGCTACCTTGAGTTTGCATTGTAAAAGAGCCATACACCAGTGAGCCCTGTCCTCAGTGCCAGTAATTCAGCAGACTTTAAAGAGGGTTATCAAGCAGGAACTGTTTTTCAGCAAGAACAGGTTTATCATTTTTCTATTGAAAAGTAGTTTTATTGCATTATCAAGCCTAGATCTGAGAGTACTCAGTTTGTTTGCTTCTACAAAGTGTCCTGGTATTCCATTCCATTAATTATTAGTAATTTTGAAAAGTGTTTTCTAATAGTACAAAATCAACAAATTGCCAATTGCCAATCCCTTTTTTCTATTCACAAAACTTGAAATTTGAAAATGTGAAATACCTGTTGGAATCAACCTTATTGAGCTCCTTTAAAATTCCCGTTTAAATTGATGGACTGAACAATTATGGTACATCGTGTTTTTTTTTTTCCAGAAGTCTTGTGTCGAGACTGAAATGATCAAGTTCTTTGAACTAGTCCTCATAACTCATCTCCCTAAACCTTAAAATCTGTCTTGTCTGTACTTTCTCTAACATTTTGTAATCACTTTTGTAAAGTGGAGACCAGATCTGTATGCAGTATTCCAAATAAAATCTAAGTAGTGCATTGTAAAATGTCAATATAACCTCTTTTCTGTCTACACTCTGCTATGTAGCTTAGCATTTGGCTTTTTATTGTGTCTGTACGTTTTCTAGATGCTGAGAGTGACATCCTCTATACACTTTCTAAATGCGTGCCTCAAATTGTATAATTATGCCTTAGAATTTTTTATCTACAGTACTGTATGTGCAAAACGAATGAGCACTAAATTGAATTTCAAAGCTTCACAGTGCAAATATTTTGTGGGCATTTTGTACTGTTTGTTATAATAAAACAAATATAATGCCTTTATATAAATCTGAAAATAAAGCTTTCAGAAGTTAAAATAATCAAGACAAATGACTTTGGTGAGCCAGCTAAGTGGCTGAGCAATCATGTTTTAAGCCCATAAATAAGAAGGTGGAAGAGTCTATAGCAGGTGAGTTATCACGATGGGAAGAATTAGGTACCCCATGAGTGAAAATTACATTTTTGGAGTCAGTAAAAACATAGCTGTTCTCCTGATGGCATTCCAAAACTCTTCTAGAGTATTCCCATGGCATACGGAAAGTGATTGAACTTGGAGAATGTGTACCAGATTCAGGCACCACTACCATTGTTGTCCTCTTGCTGCTGTTTTCAGCGTAGTTTATCCCATTGTAGCGCCATCCCCATTTCTACATTCAGTGCTGCAATCTCTCTTACCAAGCTATATGTCTGGCAACGTTTCCTATTGGGAATGTGTAGTTTCAGCAAAGTCATACCCTCGAGGAATTGGTCACAAATATGGTTGGCACTCAACAGCCTGCACACAGCTTTTGTGATTTATAATATTAAATGCAACATGTCAAGCATTTCATTTTAATGATTTTTCAACTTTAATAAGGTGATCCCTCTGGGAAATGTAATAGTGATGAGGCATACTAAATTTAGGGTGCCTGTTCTAATCCCCTCTCAAAAAAGGGTTAGTAGAGCAGATCCTAAAAAGTGGCTCAGTCATAGTTACAGCTGCCAAAATGCACTACTGTTTCAACCCAAGTGCTTGACGGCCATCCTGTTACAGCCACCTCTGTGCCAAATCATGACTAGGAGTTTCCAGATCTCACTCTCCTGCTGTTATCAATATTAGCTGGTTGCTGAAGGACTTATTGGGAACATGCTGGGAATCTAAGATGCCTCTGCATGATTTTTGTTTGTACCAAAAGTGCTTAGACACATACAGTATCTTGACAAAAACGTGACCTTGATCTAATGCCATAGAGACTGAAGGTGAAGCCTTCATCTGCCAGAATAGTCATCAAGCTCTTTCAGGTGGTGCATCTTCTTCCACCTCCTGTTGTGAATGTAGCATCCAGAGTCCCATTTGCTGAGTATGGAGGATCCAGGAATCCTAACAGGCTTTCACGGTATTCAAAGTGGACCCACTGAAGAAGTCCTCCTGTACTTCGTACTGTCCATGTGGTATGGTGAGGATGAGTGGATGGACTTTGGAAACCCCAAATCAATTAGAGACTCTGCTGCTGTTGACATTTTTTAAAAGCCTTCATTTTCCTAATAGCTTTAAACGTACAGTTTAGTTTCACTCTTGTTTTATCGGTTCATTTGGTGTACATTTTCTTGACTTCCTTTTTGTGTAGAACACTTGTAATGTTGAACAGTTCTTTGAACCTTTTGGAGAACATGAATAAATAACATTTTATTATTTAAGTAATTTCTATAAATGGTTATTTCGTCATTTGGAAGTGTTTTTTGTCCACTCACATTTAAATTTAAAATAGGTTTGATACAGTATGTGAGGATTAACTTTGGCAAATTGTCATAGATAGTGGCACATTAAAATACTTGTCTATATTTCATATGCTTTTAAAAAAGCCATATATTGTATCTTGGATATCCTGAATGAATGGGCATGTATACTATTCCTTGGCATTTGGCTTTGTTACTACTAAACTGAAACTAATTTACACCATATTTTGAAGGGGGTCATAAAGGAATTGTCTTTGTATACAGTAGGACCCATATATAATTTAAGATAGTCCTTCATTTGGGTAGCAGCTAGGCCTTTTTTGTCTCTTTGGGTTTAAAAATGCCCATTTTTTTACAATGTCAGAGCTTACTGCCATCATCTTCCACCTAATGGTAAGCCAACATACACTGTCCTCTTTGAGACATCAACATACTGTAGATAGGGAGATATACATATCGTTTATAGACACATTTTGTCAATAACAATTTTTCCAACATAAAACCTAGTAGCTTTTAAAATAGTCCCCATTATTTGCTGTTCAGCATTCGGCACACTTCAATGTAAATGGGGTACAAGTTTAAAACTTTCTCAATGTAACCAGTGCTCTAGGAGCTGGTGCAGTGTGATGGCTTTGAAAAAATGAAGAAAAAAAAACACACCTGTAGCTCAGTACTTTTTAGACCACATAATGCATATCAATGTAATAAATTATACGTTAATACCTATTTAATAAATTTCAATTTTTTTAGCTATGTTAGGACATTCATCTGTTGGTGTCCTAACGTAGTGGTGTCCTAACGTCAAATGACTTTGATATTTTGTTTGATTAGCTGCTTAGTAGTTTGAAAAAGACGAATTATATTGGATGTAGAGATGTAATAACACTGGATAAAAAATATCAGCCGAGTTGAACATGCTTTGTTGAAATATGTCTTGAGCATTGTGATTATATTATTCAATATGAAATCTCTAAAAAGCTAAAAAAATATTTGTGGAGTGCCTTTCTTAGAGGTTTCTTACATATACAGTTCTTATATAATGCTTATGTAAGACATTGCATGTAAAAATCAGACATTATAGCTTATTTCATTATGCTCCTTGTAAGCCTCCATAAATGTAATAAAAACGATGTATTCAAATATCATGCTCTATTCACTAATAGATTAAGCTGATGAGTCTCAAGTTACGTCTCCTTGAAAGGCCTTTTTTAAAGAATTTGATTTTGTTAAACCATATACTGAAAATCCACTATGTCTAGAGAACATGAGTGAACTTGATCTCACTGGATGAGTGGATGAACTTTGTATGACTAGCTAAGAAAGCCAGGAAAGGCTTTTAAGAACTCAGATTATAAAACCTTCGGTTTTTCTTTATGCTGAAATCCACAGCTTTCAA